ATTTATAAATTTTCTTTTTTTTAAAAAAAAAAAAAGATACCAAATTAAATTAATACCCACTAATTATTTGAACATCTATTGTTAAATGCTTTCCAAATTATTTGATTTTGATTTACCAAAATTATTTAATTTTCATTTAATTTTTGATTGACCAAAATTTTTGGTGGGATATCAATTGATTTTGTTCTACCAAAAATTTGTAGTAGAAAAAATACGTTTTTAATATACTTGTAGTGCAAAAATCAAATAATTTTGGTAACTACATTTGATTATTCATGTTCAAATCTCACATTTTTTAATTTTTGAATAACCAAATTTGTAGATTTACCAAAAATATGATTTTATTATGTGTATTGTGTTTAATTCTCACATGTTTCAAATTCAAATCATTTCCAAATTTTATGGGATATCAATGAATGCAATTTTCGAACCTAAAAATCTGTAAATTCAAAGAGATTCACAAAATTTAGTTAGTAAATAGAAAAAGGATCAAATTAGTTACCAAAAAATATGACTTGTCAATATCCTATCAAATTATCCAAAAAAAAAAAGGAGTTTGTTAAGGAGTTTGTTGAAGATAAAATTTTGTAACAATAATAGAAACGTGATTCAATTATTATGGATATTTGTGTTAGTTATGAAATTTGTGAAAGAATAAATCTAAAAAAATCCGATTAAAATTTTGTAACAAAATTCGAAATGCTAGGAGATTTAATGATTAATTACGTGATTAAATATATTCCATAATTTTATGCTAATTAATTTAATATATGGGACCTACATGGTCATTACTTAAAATAGTAATTATTACTTAAAGTAGTAAGTCAAAACTTTATTTTTTAAGTCAAACATACTATTTTTGTATTTTTCCAACAACCTCTTTATATTACTATAGATATATTTAATAATTTTCGGAAAATAAAATATGTGTCAATTACAAGAATCTGACCTTGGTACTTCTCTTGAGGTTCCCATAGTGTACCCTCACAAAAGGATCACTTGTGCCTCGTATATCAGCAGCAATAAGATCTCTTGCTTCAATTATGACGAGCTCGACCCAGCTGTTGCTCAAACTCGAGCGTGAGCCCTAAAAAACAGCAGAAAAATAAAATCAACTCCTCACGGTAGAACAGCCAAACGAGTGTGTCTTTCTACGAAAACAAATGCATGCACTCTCGAGAGTATTTGCAAACACTAAAAAATGTGATTCATCTGAAAAAAGAATCATATATTATTAAGATGTGTTTGTATATCAATTATTTCAACTCATACCCAATTCATACTCAAAATCTAACTCAACTTTAACTCACCTCCATTATCCTTAATTTTACCTCCATTATCCTTAATTTTATAGATATAATTAAATAATACCAACCAATCAGTCTTACATATCACATCAACTTTAATTCACTATTCATCCACTCACACAATTTTAACTAACATCACTTCAAATCATCTCTCTCGTATTTTTATATCAAATTAACTTTAATTATTTTATTCTAAATATTATTTTAATATAAATTCAAAACCCCACTAACAACCAACCTTACCAACTTTTTCAAAATTAACTATAGTTAACAAAAAAAAAAACTCGTTTTGAGTATATATATTTGTATACAAACACGCCTTAGTGTTTAGATTCTGATTTTTCGTTGTATTTACTTCCGAACACAAAGTAAACCACTCTTGAATTCCGAGCTGAGAGATTAGTCTATACACATACCATCGAATTTTCTTTGTCGTCAACTTTGACTGCTTCTATCTGAAGACGCAACTCCCCTGAGTTGACTTTTTCAAGGGGAATATAAACGTCTCTAACCAAACCTTCCACGAGTCCTTCCAAATTCACCAGTGCACTGCCTATGCTCTCGTCCCCAAACGTTTCTTCAGTAAAGCATTTTATCTTCAAATACTCTCCGCCTCCTATTTCATCAAATTCAAACCTTTGATTCCAAGTTGGATTGGGCGAATGTGGGACAGATTTTGTTTTTTGGGTAGCCTGGATAACGGAAAGGATTAAAATCTTGCTTAATAATTAATATCACCTCAAAATATCGATTATCAATGTAAGAAAAGGAAGAAGTATGCAAGAGAGAAGTTCAATATACGATCTATAAAGGGGGATTTGTACCTTGCCATACTGCAGTTTAATGTAAGGGTCGGATTTTCCAATTTTGTCCTTCACAACAAGGTCTTTTCCCTCTACAACGGTTATGCAGATTTTTCTTCCAGTTTTGGAAAAATAATTTGATGTCCCATTCAGTGAACGACGAGAGCCCAGGCCGAGGCTAGCCAAGCTATGTGAACCATCAGTAAACTGCCACTCCTTAAGCACAAGCCTCACTGTCAGCTGATAGGTGGTTCCAAAGGCCATTATAGGAAAAAATAAACATCAGTGAGTTATGAAGTTAAACCCAAGGCATGATATCAAGCACTCAGACAATGCACATGATATAGCAATGAAGATTGTTCTAAATACAATAAAACTTAAAATTACAAAAGAAGTTCCCCTGTTCAGCGGCATTTACCACATAGATTAGATTACGGACCTACCTGAATGACGGGAAGAATTTAAATACAAGCCAACTCCCTTGGAATTTTATATAATGTGTATTACTTAGTTAGGGAAGATAGTAGAAAGTACCTCCCCCAAATCAGTCCCTTCAAATGGAATTGTCATCTCAATTTCTTTTCCACAAACCTCAGCATACTTTGCAATCACTGTTGAGTCGGCTCCAATGGCCCAATATATCGTTGAATCATTTGGGACATATCTCATCTGCATTTGGTTCAATTTTTTAGCATTCAATTGGGCACACAGTTTTTTACTTGTTTGAGTCCCAATAAATAAACATATAAAAATTTTCGAGTCTGAGAAACTATTGTGTCATGTAGCCAGTATATGGAGTATAGTCTTTTAAGGGTTCATATTGAATCAGTATTATGATTAGCTATTCTATATTAGTTTATATTCTACTATGAAATGGCTTTGGGCCTTTAGACTTTAAGGTCCTGATTGATATACGGAATGGAATGTCGTAGGAATTAAATGAATTGAAGAATGGAATGATTATAGGAATGGAATGAAACAAGTTTTGTCATTGATGCGTTTGGTATGCAGAAGGAATAAGACCTGGAATGACATTATCATTTTCTATTATAAAAATAAATAAAAGCTTTTATAAAAAATAATATATTTTTAATAAATTATATATAAATGGTTTTTAAATAAATTAATATATTTTTAATAATATATAAAAATAAAATAATATATTTTTTAATAACATAAAAAATAATATATTTTTAAAATATATAAAAATAAAATAATATATTTTTAAATTATATATAATAAATAATATATTCTTAAAAAATATTTTTAATATATAAAAATTAATATATTTTTAATAATATTTTAATTAAACAGAAAAAAAAGTAAGTTTTCAATTTTTTTATTTGAATTATATTTTTTAAAACAATATATTTTTGATAATATATAAAAATAAAAGTAATATATTTCTAATAATATAGATTTTTAATATTTTTTAATAATATATTTTAATAATATATTTTTCAAAGTAATATATTGTTAATATATAAAAAATAATATATTTTTAATTATATATAAAAATAATATATTTTCAAATTATATATAAATGCTTTTTTTTAGTTTTATTTTTATATAAGTATTTAATATATCTAATTAAACAATAAATAAAAGTAAGTTTTCAATATTTTATTTGAATTTTAATTATTAATAATTTTATTTAATATATTTTAATCATTATTTATAATATATATTATATATTTATTTTTTACTATTATTGTTAATTTTATTTTTTGAAAAATTATTCCTACGAAAACTTTCCAGGCTAATCCCATGAAGGTGGCTTTTGTCATTTCCATTGAAATGGTTATTCATTTCCAAAAAATATATGATAAAAAATGAGTAAGGGAATGATCATTCCATTCCCATGTCATTCCCTCATACAATCATGCCATAAGTTAATAGGCTATTGAATAAGGGCTTCGTAATAGGTACCTATAAGTAGATGGGGACTAACAAAAAAATAAAAATAAAAATAAAATCAACACACACACAAAAAATAAAAATAATAATAATAATAATAATAATAAAAAATAACAGGAAAAATATTCTCTTCTCGAAAGAGTCTCGTCCCCGAGACTCATAGGAAATGGGCTTGAGCCTATTTATATAAAATCTGAAGATAAACTAATAAACAAAAAAAAATAATAAATACTATATACAATATGAACCCTTAAAGACTATACTCCATATAATGGATACATGACATATTGTCACGATACAGATCAGTTACAAGTTTTAGTAAAGTAAAATGACATTTACCTTAACCTCACAGCTGGTGAGAAAGTCGTATTTTGCACTTCCAGGAGTGCGTCTATAGAGATGGAATTTAATGATTCCCACACTATCATGAAGGACCAAATTGAATGTGTTGTCCCACCTGGGGGAGGTTCCGGATCTTACATCTGTTCTCCTTGTTAGCTCCTCAGCTTCAATTTCCACAAATGTCTGAAGCTCTTTGGTTTCGGGATAGTCCTCCAAGTAAGAAGTGCTCATACAACCAGAAATATTTTTTGCAGATATTATCGTGACATATAACACACCACCTACAGCTTTCCTTTGCAGGTCCTCGGTTGGCAAAGCAATACACTGACGTCTCGGTTCGACCATTCTCTTATTCAGCGTGTCCGTGGCAACTTTGACCTGTTATGCAAAAAAAAGGAGTAATTATAAACAAATAAGGTTCACCTTTTCATGACAAAGCACTTTCGCGAGACAAGCTCTTCTTTTCGTGTCATTACTATAAACCTCAGTAGAACTTTAGTAAGTTACCCAAAAGAAGCTATCATAATCATACAATAAACTATATCTAATTTCAGTGAATGACAGTTTTTTCTTTTTTTTCTTCTTCAAGTTAATTCAGAATATGGAACAAGTAAATAAAGTGCAGTCCCTGTGTCGGGAATTTCAGGTCCTAATAACTTCATTGGCAAGAAATTGTTATTTTAGCTAAACCATACCAGCCATGAAGAGACACCTGGTAGCTCTGTTGCAGGTAGAGACTGGCTTCCGCCACTCCCAAAAGCTACACCAAGCCTCACCTCAGGAGTTGATACAAACGAGTATGCTATAGCTTTTCCATCTAATATTGGCATCAGAAGAAGCTACACCATTCAAAGAATGTAATGAGAGAAACATATTGGCACCCATTGATGGTTTTTGCATCAGTTAGTTGATTAGTTCTACCTCTGCTATACCCTACCAAAAAGAAAAGGATAGTTACATATGATGCGTAAGTTTATACTCAAATATAAACAAAATCTGACATCTTTCCCTGGCATTTGTTTTCTCTTAAAAAAATGTTCACTTCAGAATGGGATATTTGTAAGGTACCTACAAACCTCAAAGAGATATTCCTTGATAT